ATAATACCCCGCACAAGAACTGACCCTGCGGTTAATACGGCTTCAAACTCAGCGAATCAGTAGTGCTATGAACTGTTTCCGTTTGCGTAGATAATAAAAGGAATATTCATAGACTTTATAATAAGTTAGGTTACACGGTGATTATAACGACTACAAATTCTACTATATCCTAATATTACACGACGCTGTTAAATTTACTATACTATAATTTTATCTGTCAAAAGTATACTAGGTTTAAAACATTGTCATATTAGGAGAATGCTTTTGATTATCTAATAAATTGGGAGATCTAATTGAACACCATATGAAGGTAACTGTAGTGAGGAATCTTACTCCTGAAATACGACAATTGTTAACAATTTCATCTGAGGTGTTGATTGTGACGGCACAATGCCGCTGCACGTACACTGGGCCTCCGCTCCGGTAAATACTACCTCAAATGCAGTGAATATGTAGTGTTATAAATTGTTTGCACTTGTATAGATTTTATAGGGGCTATAGTTAGACTAAATAATGATGCTTATTATTTTATAATTATACATTATATTGATAGTGAATCATTATGTGACTTTGATAATCTTCACTTATTTTTTTGTTATGAGCATGTATTTGACTAAAATGGATAATAAATATTATAGAAGAAAAGCCTACTACCAATGAAAGTAAAAAATATTGAGTTAAAAATTATACAAAGCCAAATGTAAAGGTGTTAGTAAAATTATTTTTTGTAATACAATATTAAGTGTTTCAATGTATCAGAATAAAATTTGATATTTTATTCAGATTGTATGGCAGACAAGACTGAAATAAGCGCAAACGCAAATGGTATGAAATTTCGCACAATTGATGTTCGCAACGATCGATATGGCAGATCCTGTGCGGAAGTCTGTCAATCAGGCTGGTGGTTTTCTGCATGTACTTGTGGGAATCTTAATGGACTGTTTGGAATCAAGAAAAAAATTTCTGTGATGCGTTGGAAGTGTGCAGACGGTCGGAAATGTCCCCTCAAAGCCACCAGAATGCTGCTCAGACCATATGAATAATATTAGACAACTGTTAAACTACACGAATTCCAATCGTGGGAATGGATATCAGCTTAATTATGCACAGTGATGTCGTTAAAAACCATACGAGTTTAACAAGATCATAGTTATAATTAAGTTTATTTTTGTTTAGCTCACCTGAGCTGAATGTTCAAGTGAGCTTTTCTGATCACATTTTGTCTGGCCTCCGTCTGTCCCTCCCTCTGTATGTCTATCTGCCCATCCGCCTGTCTGTCCATGTTTCTGTCTTTAAACTTTTTTTTCATATTTTCGACTTCTCTAGAAGCACTGGGCCAACTTCAACCAAACTTGGTACAAAGTATCCTTCATAAAATCAATATAAAATCAAATAAGATAAAAGCAGACAGGGTCTTTACTTGCCAATCAGCCTTTCCTCTATCGTTCGTAATAAAAAAGATGCAAAAGTTCAACACTACGCCGTACACTTTGAAACTTAAATTTTGTTTCTATCTTAAGTTCTTATTCTATTGATTTTGGAAAGTGCTGCTAGAATCGTATGGTATAAAGACATTGATGCAATTTTTTTTTCGATCTTATGAACAAAATGTAAAAATTTTGGGAAGGTTTTATCCGAAAGTGTTGAATAATTATTTCTGTAATAGGACAGTAGGATTCTAGCAGCACTTTTCATGGTACAGAGATGTTTTTACATAACTGTTATTACAAATTGAAATTAATTTTCCCCGGGGTAGTGTTGAAATTTTCACTTTTTCATTAAGGCATTTCTTACTAATTATAGACGTCACGTGGTGACGTCGTGGTGAAGTGCTTCCTGTCTTATAGGTCCCATTGCAGTCTATAGAATGCATAATGATAGCAAAAGTTTTATCCATGACTTCTCCGATTTATTAGTGTTACATATTTTCAGAAAAGAGTTAATTCGCCGAATTCTGATCCGTGTGCTGCCTTAACAAACCCGCATATTTATATGGAAGCCTCATCAGGTAATGTAGATTAAAATTTGTTCAAATTATGACCCCTGTGGGTAGGACGGGGCCACAACAGGGAATCCAATTTTTACTTTATGGAGAACAATTCTTTAAATATTTTTTTTCAACAAAGGCAAAGCCATGATTAGTCAAATGTATCTGGAAGCATTCTCAAGTAGTGTAGATTCAAGTTTGTTCAAGTCATGACCCCTTGGGGTAGGGCGGGCCACAATGTAAGTTCAAATGTAAAGAGCAATAAAGCCACATGTAGTCAAGAAATAGGCAATCATCCTTTTTTAGTGTAGACGATTCAAAAATGTTCAAATCATACTCTATCCCCTTTAAGGATTGGTTGGGACTACTTTTGGGTTTAAACTTTCAAATAATAAACTGATTTCTCTTTGTTTCCTAGCCGCAGTGTTCAGGTGAGCGATGTGACCCATGGGCCTTTTGTTATCAAAGACTTTTGCTCTATGTACTTTGAAGCTGTTATTTAACCCTAAAATTGGAAAACAACAGATATTAAGGAATAAATGAAACAATAATGATACAACAGTATTTGTTTAAGAATAATTATGTCATTTCATAGTAGATTACTACTGTGGAGTCATCACTTATTGTAGAAAATTAATGTTCGTGGACTTCTTTGGTCACTCTTACCCACGCACTTACATTCCCCAAAAACTTTTATTTATTTATTTAGTAAATAAAGAGACACAATAAAGATACCGTATAAACTTGTCTTTCAAATCATGACTTTAAAAAGGAAACTTTGCTTGTCAACGGATATTGATACCCACTAGTGAAAATGTGCCCATAGCTAAATGATAAGAAAAAGTAGGCCTTTTCTTTGAGGTGGGGGTAACTGTTGGAAATAGGAAAATTGTTTTTTTAGAACTAAAAATAGAATATAATATCGTATTAGTGGACTATTTATAGCTAGACATGAGCGTTTATTAAGTTGATATGCGTTGATATGTAATATTCTTTAGTCTCTTTGCACTGTTGTTTTTATAATTTATTTTTATTTAGGAAAAGGATTTTACACAACATCAAAAGAAAGCTAATATAAATGATTTTTTTCAAAACTTAAAAATACCCCAAAACAAATGATTGATTTAATATTGTTTAACGCCGAGTCCGCAATTTTTTAGCCATGTTTCGGCGGACAAACAAAAGAAGAAGTAAAAAACAACTTTAAACTGCAATGGAAGATATAAAGTAATTTTAAGACTTTTAATAGGATCACGTGTCGGGTATTATTTTTAGTAAAACTTGGATATAGCGATCTTCGTTCTTTTCATCTTTTACAAAGTAAGAGATGATTAGGCGCTGATTTTTCAACAAAAAAAATAATAAGAAGGAAGATTCATACAAGGTGGTTATCAAAAGATAAATTAAAATATATTCAAAAGGTAACTTGAATAACTCTTTTTTGTTTTATCTTTCACTACGATTTTGAAAGTAGTGAAGGAAAAACTTCAAGAGTACTGTGTAACAATATATTCAAGAAGTGGTGTAAATCAGATGTGGATACTCAAAAATTCCAAAACTTTTGGACAATTTGAAATCACAAGATTTTACCAAAACCAGCAGCTTAAAAACTTACGACTTTTAAACTTTATACAAAACCATTCCCCATGATAAATTAAAGCCCAGGCTTTTTGAAATCACTGACAGCTGCTTTGTCAATAAGAATAGAACTCGTAAATTTACTAACATGGTCATGGGTCATTTGCGAAATTATTTTCTTAAAACACATTCTGATTGCACTCACAGGCACTTTGAAGTTGGCATCAAAGAGATGCTTGAGTTTCTGAATGAAAATATCTATGTGGTTTTGGAGACCAGGTATTCCTACAATCTATTTGTATTCCCATGGGTACCAATTGTGTTCCGTTATAAGCAGACCTTTTTTATATATAAAATTTTTTATGTGTGAAATGAAGAAAACACTTGGTGTGGACTTCAGCTCGACATTTAGATATATCGACTGTCACAGGGTGGCTGGCGGCTTCCCAAAATCACACAATACAGTTTTGTTAAAATAGTTTTATTTACAATATGCACAAACACACGCGTTTCTACATGGCCCAATGGCTTCCTGCTGGATGGCATAAAAGGATAGCTGGCCTAAATGGGACCTATAATATAAATCAAAGTTAGATACAGACATAATATAATTATACATTGCTCATACCTGTACATTGTGCTGTACATTTACTTAGGTGTATTTTACTGCATTTTACTTTACATAGTTGCATTTTACTGCACTGTACTTATACTTCACTTCAATTCAAACTACTTTACTTTATAGAACTTTTACGTTCCCACATAAACTAAGTGTATTACTTGTAGACAACCACTTTAAGACGAATACTATACGCCATACTTTATACATACAACACTACGTCTACATTATACATATACTCATACACTTATACTTTTACTTATAACACATATACTTTACATGAGCAAATACACGTACTACTTTGAATCTAACTTACGAATGAAATTATAGAACAAAGTTCTGTGGCCATTTCAGGAATAAAAACCGTAAATAAATAATACAGCTTACAATTATAATAAATACACTTACCCAGAATAGGTGAACTTCTGGTCATGAAATAATAAAACATAGAACAAAATAAGGTAGAAAGTTGAGCAGTCTTAAGACACTTCTGCTCTCTTCAGTTGCTACGCCCAATCTGATTTCACGGGATTTAAATTCACCAGGTAAAACCTGCTAAACAAGCTTAAAAGTATGGAAAACATATTGGGCAAATAATATTAGTTATATAGTAATCAGATAAAACATATGGAAATCAAATACGGACATCAATTGTGACATTACCTTCCCCCTTTAAAGAAAAATTACATACATGTATTTTTTTCTCAAAGACAATTTATGTACAAGATTTTTTTTTTTTACTTTTCAAACATAAGATAAAACAAGAGAAAATTCTTCATTCATCAACTTTATTTACATGGAAATGCTGACGAATTCTTACTGTCTGCTTAAATAATCCGCTCCTACATTGTCCTTTCCTCTGATAGCCCTGATGCGGAATCGGTATGGCTGAAGTGACGATGCCCATCTCCTTAGTCTGGAGTTCACCAACTTCGTCTTATTCAAATATACTAGCGGATGGTGATCTGTCTCTAAAATAAACTCTTTGCCATAGAGATACCTGTGAAACTTTTGCACGGACCAAATGATACCCAAGCATTCCTTTTCTATCGTCGAGTAGTGTTCTTCACTTGGTTTTAGTTTGCGGCTGGCATAGGCAACCGGGAGTTTGAATTCACCTTCTTCCTGTAAAAGTACTGCTCCTATACCTCTGTCGGATGCGTCAGTCTGTACAATGAAAACCTTGGAAAGACCTGGTAATTTCAAAATCGGAGATTGTATAATAGATGCTTTTAGATTTTGAAATGCTAATTCCTGAGCTTCTGTCCACTGAAGTTTACTAGGAGAGAACTTTCTTATGAGGTCTGTTAATGGAAGAGCTATATGGGCAAAATTCGAGATAAACTTTCTGTAAAAATTTACCAGTCCTAGAAAAGATCGTAGTTGTTTTTTCGTCGTAGGATGGTTCGCCTGTTGTATAGCCGACACTTTATCTGGATGAGGATGTACTTTGTCATCGCCTATGATATGGCCCAAACACTCCAGTTTCCGATAAGCCAAAGAACATTTCATTGGTCTGGCAGTGAGATTTGCTAAACGGAGACGCTGTAAAACCTGAGAAAGCACAGAGATATGTTGATCAAAAGCATGAGTAAATATCAAAATATCATCTATGAAATTGTCAACATTAGACACGTTGTTGAGCACCTCTCGCATGAGACGACAAAAAGTAGCCGGAGCTGTAACCAGCCCAAACGGCATTTTGGTGAACTGGAAATAACCTTGGGGAGTCTGAAAAGCTGTCATTGGACGGGCAGAATCAGACAATGGCACTTGCCAGTACCCCTTTGTTAAATCTAACCGTGAGAAGTATTTATGACCTGATAATTTAGCAAACATTGCGTCTACATCAGGCATAGGCTCCGCATCAAACACAGTAATGCGATTCAGAGCTGTAAAATCGACGCAAAACCGATATGTGTTGTCCTTCTTTGCAACAAGGACTATTGGGGATGAATATGGACTTTCCGAATATTCGATTACCCTAATTTCTAACATTTTACGCACCTCATCTTTCACTGTTTCCATCATAGCAAAAGGGATTTGTCTCGGACTTACTCTCACAGGTTTATCCGTTGTTGTCCTGATTACATGTTCAAGCACATGCGTGTGGCCTGGTACATCTGTTACGGACAGATGATACAAACAAATTTTTTATTTGAAAAAATTTTGATATCATGTCACAAGTTTAGAAAAGTGGATGGTTCTTAGAATTTTTTCTCCTAAGAACTGGAAAATGAAATAGACTTGGAAAATATTAGTAATATTTCAATAAAAAACAAATATTTGCAAATCACATTCAGTAAAGGTTTACAGATGAAAACAAATGTCAGAATATGTTACCTTGGAGCTAAAAGTTTAATATAAACTTTAGAAAAATATACCAAGCCAGGTTAATTTTGTGAGGAAAAGCAAAATGACAAAAAATTAGCAATATCACATAGTCTGATTTTTACCATTTAGCTTTTCCTAATAAAATTCACCTGGATTGGTATATTTTTTTAAATTTTTATTACACTTTTAGGACCATGGTAACATATTCTGAAATTTGTTTTCACCTGTAAACCTTTACTGAATGTGATTTGTCTATATTTGTTTTTTTTAATGAAATACTACTAATATTTTCAATGTATATTTCATTGTTCAGCTCTTAGGAGAAAAAATTCTAAGAACAGTCCACATTTCTAAACTTACGACATGATATTAAATCTATTTCAAAGAAAAACTTTGTTTGTATCATCTGTCCTTAAAACATCACTATACCTGTGTAAAAGATCCATAAGAGTTTGTCTCTCATCTCTGTTGAGATCTGGATTCACATCTACATCTTTGTAGGATTCTCGAGACTGTACGTGTACGAACTCTGCTTCTTCATCATACTCACCAACTGATTCATCAAACTGAATCTGTTCTGAATCTACAACTGACATAACACATTGAACAACTGGTTCACAACGTTCTATATATCTTTTTAACATATTTGCGTGATATGTCTTTACTTTTCCCTTCACATCTAACTGATAGTCTACTTTACCTATCTTTTTCACAATTTGAAAAGGGCCTTTCCATTGCATAAGGAGCTTATTACTATCAGAAGGCAACAAAACCAAAACTTTCTCTCCTGGTTTCATATTTGGTACTCTAGCCTTCTTGTCAAAGTACACTTTGTGTCTTTCTGACGCCCTCTTAAGATTCTCCTGTGCCAACTCCCAAGTTGACTCCAATAGCTCGCGGAGATCTAAAATGTACTGGTAGGTAGACTTTACCTGTGGATCCGGAATTTTTTCCGTCCATAGTTCTTTCAGGATCGTCATGGGTCCTCTCACCGTACGACTATATAACAACTCAAAGGGAGCAAAAACCAAACTTTCCTGGGGCACCTCACGATAGGCAAAAAGCACAGTGGGTAGATATTTGTCCCAGTCTCTTGGTCTATCTATACACATACGTTTAGGCATTTGCTTAAGTGTGCCGTTAAACCATTCAACTAACCCGTTGCACATAGGGTGATACGGAGTAGTTGTTAACTGTTTCAACGAAATGAGTCTACTCACCTCTTTCATGAGCCCGGAAGTAAATTGGCTTCCCATGTCTGTCAATATTTCCTCTGGAATACCTGTATAGGAGAACATCTCAAGTAAGGCCTCAGCAACCCGCTCTGTGTCTATTCCTGGAAGTGCCTTCGCTTGTGGAAATCTTGTAGCGTAATCGACTAAAGTCAAAATAAAACGATTACCTTTTTCAGTTGGAGGGTGAAGTGGACCTACAATGTCTACAGCAACTCTTTTAAAAGGCACGTCTATTAAAGGCATTCTACCTAAAGGAACTTTCGTCACTGTACCCTTAGACACCGTTCTTTGACATGTATCACAAGACCTACAAAATCGTTTTATCTCCGACTGCATTCCTGGCCAAAAGAACTCTGACAAAGTCCTACAAATGGTTCTACTAATCGCTAAATGGCCAGACATGATCAATTCATGGGCTAATTTCATTACAATATGACGGAACTTGGATGGGACTATAAGTTGAGAATAGGTCTTACCACTGTCTTTTTCTGCTGACAGATATTTCCTGTACAGAAGACCATTCTTTTCAAACCACTTGACCTTACCATCACGTGACCTTCGACCTTCCTGTGCATATCTGCGTGCCGTTTCGAGTGACGGATCTGACTGCTGCTCTCGCAATATGTCATCTGGGTTGATTTCATCTTTGACGATTTCTGGAACTTTAAGAGGTTTATACTTTTTCTGTTTTTCTTTTACCTGTTGTCTTGTTTCAACCGCTGTAATAGTGTTAGGTTTCCATTCTGGATCCGGATCATGAGGTTTCCTGGCATTCTCTACTTCACCTATAATCAGATCAAAGACAGGATTTTCCATACACCAACATTCATACTCACCTGATACATATGGAGAATCAATGACAACCTTTGCCACTGGGACCACTATTCTCGTGCTGTCTGCCAAAACACACGTTTCTTGTCTACCTGTAAAGTTTTCCTCTTTTACCAGACTACAATGTTTCGACATCCTGAATCTCTCAGTAAGGTAACTGGATAACCTTCAACGTAACCAGCTGAAAGAGGCATTGGTTTCTCTGTAGAATGACATGCCGATGTTAAAACGGTTGTATGGTCACTCACCTGACTACAAATAGACGGGTTTTGACTGTAAATCAGCGCTGCGCAGTTACTTGGATTTGCATTACTACCACTTGCTTGAACTTTCCCAAGTTCGTCCTTGCACACTGCTGCACTTGAGTTTTTACTTTTAAATCTGCACTGGGGTGCAATGTGACCATATTTGTTACATACAAAACATTTTCTTTCATTGTTTGGAACAAACCTTGGCTTCTGTTGCTGATGCTGACGTGCATCTTTGGGTTTTTCTGGTACCTTTCTTACCTCAGGTTTATGTACTGCCTTTGAACACAAATTGATAGCACTAGTATTTCTGGCTTCCCTAAACTGATCAGCTAACATACTCATCTGATCCACTGTCTTTGGAACATTCTGCTTCAGAAATACAGCCAATTCAAAATTACACACATACAGTACCCGCATCGTTATTCTTTACAATTCTATCGTGTCCTATCGTGCGTGCATCCTATCGTATCGTGCGTGTATCCTATCGTATCGTGCGTGTATCCTATCGTATCCTATCGTATCGTGTTTTCCGTTTATCGTGTTTTGCGTTTATCGTATTGATCGTTTATCAGGTTCTATCGTGTATCGTGTTTTGCGTTTATCGTGTATATTCGGAAACCCTCGCTTTTTATCTTTACTATGTAAAGAAACTACTGAGCTATTCCGAGTTTCTTTTTCGTTTTGTTAATAAAAATAAGATTAATTCAACCGAAAAAGAGAAAATAAAGATTCATCCCTTTCTTTTTCATCAATATAAGAAATATTAAAGCGTAGAAGGAAAAAATAATTAATCGCGTATTTTATGAATGAATAAATTGATTTAATAATGAATAATTAATTAAATAAATAAAATAATTACATCATGCTAAAGCAGAGAGTAATTGTCAAAATTTAAACAGTAACTCTATTTTTCGGAAATGAAGTTATAAGTAGATCGATCACCTGGTCTATTTCTTTAAAAAATAATTTATCGAATTGTATGATTTGTTTTGTCAAAATTACATACTATTTAATATGATTTTCTCAAATGAATCAGGGTTACCGGAGAATTAAAGATTTTTGGTAGGCTACGATGTTCCCGTACACAAAAAGCAAATAAATAAATAATAAGCAGGATATTGAAATGTATCTCTTTTTCATGCAATATTCTGTTTTTACTTGTTTATCGTCTGATATACATGTACAGGGGAAAACATGAAGTTTTTTAACAGCTTACCTTTTCGGCATGGAAATAAACTCAAAATATAATCCAGCGGGATGCCAAAAATCAAAATAAATCGAAGACCTTTCCTTACAAGAAAACTGACACGTATGTGTAGCTCTCTTATTAGCACACTGTCTTCCTGTGCGGTCAATCACCCCCTCCCCATTCTCCCCTAACTGACACCTCGGCCCGTGTGTATGATCACCGTCTACATACCTGTACTGATTTCTCACCTGGGGTCAATTAGTAACCTCGAATACTACCTGGTTCTAATGAAACGCATCTACTTATTTACGGAATTTTGTTCCTAACTTGTTTGAACAATTTGATCAAAGATTTAATTCAAAATATATTAAATAATTGTACAATTTATGGATTAAAAAATCATCTTGAATGTTAAATAAAAATTCAAATAAATCAATTTAATGAAATGAAGTCCCTAAACTCACTCCGTTGATTTTTTTTTTTCATTTCGTACAATGTTTCCATTATGTTTATGTAAATAAGTCTTTTAATAAACTTTAAAAAATATACTGTACTTATGGTACATGCACTTTCGGGTCATCGGGTTTTCTACGTAATACGGACAAAATTAATTCTAGGAAACAATTTCATTGATCGTAGAAACGGATGAAATAGTTCTTACATTCTAAACTATGAAAATTAGCTCGCAATATTTTTTTAACGGTATCTTACTATAAAAATAAAACAAAAGGAGTCGTCTGATCCGCCGTGACCATGCAAGACTAATAAATACACCGAATCAATTTATAGAATTCATCGATTTTATTCCATACGTATACAACTTTTTTTAAGAATTCAATATTATATTTGGCTATTTGGTTAGATCTTGTTTATCTAATTTTAAATTGGTTGCGGACTTTCAAAATACCGCCCTTCGAATATGCCTAATATGAGATTACCGGGTCAGTGTAAAATGATTTTTAAGGTTTAATAATTCATTTGCCGAAATAAAACTATTTTTTTATTATTCGAAACAGTACACACAGAGTTTAATAGCAATGATTTATAATTATTTAGTCGGAAAAGTCGCATTTCACTCTTTTAATATTTGTTAATTATTTTTTCTGTTTTGTATTGTAAAGAAGAAAGTATTTAACCATTCAATGTTCGTTAATAAATACGAGGTTTTAAATATCTGTAATGTAAAATGTTTACATGTACATAAGTCAGTGCTTAGCGTAAACGTACATGTGCAGTTGTAGCAGATTCAAATTCTCATGACACAGTTTACATGTATTAATGCAGAGCGCCATTATTTTAATAATTATTTAGATTTTTATTCAGGAAATTTAATTTTCTTGAACTGTTTCATTCTTGATAGATCTATCATGTTAAATTTATTAATTTTGTTAAAGCCGTTTTCTTTAAACCTTTCTTTCGGCCGGTCTTCTACTTGTATTTTTTCTAAGATATTAATATTTAATTGCCATTTTGGATACATCGCAGATTGTAAGCTTTAGACATTAAATACAAATATTTAATTTATTGCGTAAATTTCTTCCGTGAAATAACTTGTTACTTGTAGATAAATTTATTAGATAGAAAATTAAAATGTATATTTTTCATTAATAATAAATCTGTTTATAGAGTTTCAAAATTCACACCCTTGAAAAGAAATTTAAAAAAAAAATACAGTCTCCATTTCATGAAAATCCATTTAATCACTGTCAATTTTTATATATATAAATAAACAACTTTTGTAAAATTAATACAGAGATCTCAGGTTCTTTTATAATAATTAAATGTACTTTATAGTTTAGATTTGAAGCTCTGCAAGTATTTAAATTAAAATATGATTTAATTAAAATAATCTTTAATCTTTAAATTTAATTCAAAATAATCTTTTCGTCTTGTCAGAAAACGTTTCGAATTTTGAAACAATCCTATCAGGTTTTGCGTTTATCCTATCGTGAAGATCGTTTATCAGGTCTATCGTGTTTTGCGTTTATCGTGTTTTGCGTGTATCGTGTTTTGCGTTTATCGTGTTTTGCGTTTATCCTATCGTGCGTGTATCCTGTCCTATCGTGCGTGTATCCTATCGTATCGTGCGTGTATCCTATCGTATCGTGCGTGTATCCTATCGTATCGTGTATCCTGTAAAGAATAACGATGCGGGTACTGTATAACATTTGATCTCGAAGCATAAGATCGAAAAGAGCCTCAAATGAACAAGAAATTTGTGACATTTCGACGCACCGAGTCAAGTAAGAAGCAAGTCTAACAGTGAACTGAGAAAATGTTTCCCGAACTTCAGGTCTACAAGAACGAAATTTCTTTTTAAAACCATCCTCTGTCATTTCGTACCTACGTAGTAAAGCTGCTTTAAGTTCATCGTAATCACTTACTTTTGACGTAGACATGAGAGCATATACATCTAGAGCTCGTCCTTTCAATAAAGCG